TCTTGAATCTGTTTAAACTCCACAGGATTTCCTCTTTAATATTATACCCATACTGCTTCTCTAAGCCCATTTCTCTTAATTTTTTAAATCATTTTTGAATTACTGCCGTCAGAGTGAAAAACTAAATCTCAATTTTACTATATTTGGCCCATGGTTTCGCTAATATATTGATATTTGTGTTATATGTATAATGAGCTAGACATTTTTAAAGAAATATTAATTAGTAAGTAAAAAAGGAAATATAGCCAATACTGGTCAAGAAAAGGAGTTTCTATTATTGCCATCAGTGCAAATAACAAATCCCGAAAGTCCCGGGATTATTTGCCCAGACTCCCGGGATTTTCGGGACCTTAAAAAGGCCGGGATCCCGTGATTAAAATTTCTAGTGTAAACTAAATGGCTCCATTATTATTATTATTATTAAGTAGAGTGGAGTACTAAACTTACATTTCATTGACTTGTTTTCATACAAATAGAAGAATATTAACAGGAACAGGCATATTAAAAATTAATAAATGTGAAGTAAATAAATAAATATGAAGTAAATAGCGTCGTTTAAAGTACAAAACCGCGTATCGTCATTCTGCAATGCCGCGTAACTGACATTGGCTGCCAAATATTGGATTTGCTCACACAAGCCCTTGGCTCATTCCTTATCCATTCGTCCTGAAATATACTAGCCACAAATGCGAATTCTTTATAAAAAAGATAACCATTTTGAAATATGAGTGTTTTCACTCTCTAAAAAATAACTTATGCAACCTCACATACGCGGTTTTGCATTTTCTTAATACGCGGTTTTGTACTTTAAACGACGATAGTCACCCTCATGCCAGAAGCATGAATGTGCAAGTTTACCAATTTTGAGTTATTGGGTTAACTTAATTAGTCGTAATCTGAAACGCAATAGTCACTGAAAATTTGGCGCCGTTTATGTGAAAGGCATTTAGTATCCCACTTTTAAACTAAAGCTTTCTTAACCCTTTCAGTACAAAAATTCCACCACTCATTCTAAAAATTTTAAAATATGTATACCGGCTAATTTTTGATCGTTCATTCCAAAAATCACATCAACAAATTTGTAAAGATTTGAGCTTTGCCGTCACTCAGGGTCTTTTATAATTACGGTGACCATCCGTTCTGTTTTTTGCAGGACCGTACTGTTATTTACAGGTCTGTCCCGCGTAGTTTTTCAAAACTACTGTACATGTACTGATTTTTTCCAAGTGTCCTGCCTTTGTCCCGCATTTTCTTCGATATTTTAAAATTAGCTTTTCCTAATCGAAATAAAAGCAGCGTCGATAACTAATTAATAACTAAATAAGGTTAAGCTGGTTCAACCAGTCAATGCGTTTTAAATTTTGTACGGTTATGGGCAATGGATGATGAGAAAACGAAGACCAGCATCAAATATATCAATAACACTGTTCTACAAATTTTGTGGTAATCGCTTAAGAAAAAAAAAATGTTTTCCAAGCCAATTTTCTTTTCAAAGAAGCGTTTTCGTAATTTTTTAGGAAAAACGTGTTTTTGGTACATTTCGGAGCTATTCGTCAATATCTCATGAAAAAATTATCCAATCAACATAAGCGACCTACAGTCCTCTTACAAAAATATATTACTTTGCCGATTTTGATGAAAGTGATTAGTGTTACAAGCGACCAAAATCGAAAAAATTGAAATTTCAAACATTTTATTTTTACAGTAAATGAAAATCTGATGAGAAATGTAGATGTTACGGAACACAATCTGCACAAATTATATACTTTTGCAAAGGGCCCTTTCGAGCTGTAGGTCGTTTCATGTGATATTGACGATTAACTGAAAAAAGTACTAAAAATACGTTTCTCGAACAATTCTCGAGAACACTTCTTTGAAACCATGGGTATTATTTTCGTGTTCAACGACCCAAAGTTTGCCTAAAAAATTTGCTTTACAGGGGTTCATATTTCATGTAAGGTAATATGTAATATGCCTTATTATAATTATATAAATATTCATTACAAAAAGACTAATACCAATGAAGCAAATGTGATTTATGTTTAAAGTTTAAAATTACATTAATAATTAAGAAATATACACTCCTCGTTATTTGAAAGCGCACTCCTTTAATACTTACTAGTTACAGTTTTCCTTTTGTTTGTTTAATATTCATAAATTTTTTATAAAAAATATAGCATATTCTACGTCTAAATCCGATTTTAATAATTTTTGAAAATTAAAAAAAAAAATCAACATAGGGGCGGCAATTTTTTTTTTGTTGACGGTGCTGCACATTTTCTTCCATGTAAAAATTTTGTCAAGCATACTTTGTATGGAAGAAAAGCAAAAAAAGGGTGCGCTATTCAAATGACGAGGAGTGTATATATGTATGTAGTATACTTTTGTTATTTTTATACTACGCAATTATATGTAGGTAAATTTTTTTAATAATTGTCCTGCATTTTCAAAATATATTTCTGGTCACCGTGTTTATAATGGTCAGTGATATCCTAGGTGTTTAATAAAGAAAGTACATAATCTCAATTATTTCTAATTTTTTGCTTTCTTGAAATATATGTAAAAACTATGATAATACCTAATACCTTTTCCGAGTCTCAATTCCACGGAAAACTGGTAAATATTTTTCAGTAGATTATATTGCTCACTATCGAATTCTCCGCCACTTTTTACTTTGGTGCAGTGTTGCCACTTGAGAGTAATTCCTCAAAACGTGAGAAATTTCGGATGCTCTTGAGTATATTTTGAGGAAATTTCTCTCGATCAGGGATGTTGCATCAAATGATACGAATGTTTTGCGAATCCGAATGTCTACATGGGCAGAGAGTCCATTCTAATATTGTTGAAATGGCTCTAAGTCTATCTAACCAGGGTGCGGACAATAACCGGCTTTTAGCTTCAGGTGCTAAACGGTTAAGTAGAATATCAAGTACTGCTAAAAGTCTTATTTGGGGCTATATATTATACGCCGTACTTTTTTTAATTCAAAAAACTTATTACGCAAAAGTGAGAATTTTACATAGTATGAGTGTATACCGTTTTTTTTTTTGTAATCTAAAATAACGACACTTTCTGTTTTTCAAATTTCTCAGTTCTTTAGTGAACCATAAGTGTGTTTCTTCTTCAGGAACATACATGCGTTTAGGCACATGCTTTTCAAATAATTTATGTAAAGTAAAACTAAAAAGTGCAAGGCTTTGTTCAATGTTTTCTTTATGTGCAGGCCACGACAATTTATAGAGTTCTTTGTTAAGATTTTTAAAGTTGGCTTTCGAAAAATCAAAGCGAATATTTGGTTCGTATGCTTGGATACCGCAATTTTGACCATCACTTATAATTTCGTAACATATCTCCATAGCAGGGTGGAAGACATCTTCGGGCAAAACTAGTGGATCACCAATACACCAATATGTCAGATGGGGGAGGGATATAGCATAGAGCTAAGTAAATAGAACCTTTTCCAACCTCTACACGAATGCATTTGAATTCTACTGAATCAATGTGTGTAAGACTAACTTCTTCAGATGGTATTGAAGAGTATATAGCGAAGAGTACGCCACCGCCGATTCTGTCCTCCCTATCTTGTCTATAGATATGATAATTATTTGCAAGAAGCTCTGAATTGAAAATATGAGGCTTCAGCCAAGTTTCAGTGAAAGAAAGAATATTATAAAGTAAAACCCGCTTAAGTACCTCACGAAAAATGCCAGCTTTTTGAAGTACTTAGGCGGGTTGGGTTCTTAAAGGAACCCGCCTTAAATATGTAAATCCTTGAATAAAGCATAAACATTTAATGAAGTATACGTATTTATTTAAGATATTTCAATTAAAATACAGTTCATTCCCTAACAAATACCATGTAAACCTAAGCTTAAGATTTAATAGAACACTTAAAGAAAAAAAAATCATCAAAATTTAAATTTTTTTTCTCAGATGTGTGTTTTGAGTATACAGTTTTATAGCCCATTCAATTTTAGTGTAATAACGTGCAAGTTTCAAGTGGCTAAAAATTACCATAGATTTTTTATAATTTTTTTGCCGAAGGTGTGTAACGCTGCCACTGAGTTTCCAAATATGTAAATATTTTAAGGAATCTTAAAAGAGCACTTAAAAGGGTAAAATTATAGGTAAAAAGGTAAATGGGGTACGAAAAATTGAGATAATCTGGCGGGTTGGGTAAATAAGCGGGGAGGTACTTAAGAGAGGAATTTTCTTCAGATTACATTCAAAAATTCACATTGCCCAAAAATGTTGGTTACTTAAGCGGGTTAGGTACGTAAGCGGGGGGTACTTAAGCGGATTTCACTGTAATGACATTCAAGGCCTTTAAGGTATAAGTTCGTTAGTTTAGTATTTAAGCCCCTTGCATTTTGGTAATAAATACTTAAAGAAGATTTAATAGTTAGTTTTTTGATTCAGTGTTATGACGGGGAATATTAGCTAAGTTATTTCCTTTTTTGGGCCTGTATTCGAATTCACGAACGAACGCTCCGGGGGGCCAAAAAGAACTTCTAAGGAGCGCATTAGAATTATCTAAATTTACGTCAGTTTTAAATGAAGCAATATTTCTTTCGTATATAAAATTAAATTTCCTGATGCTTAAGTCGACAGTTTTAATTTTGTATGATATATAAAACTTTATATCGTCTTCCGAAGTGTCTCTCGAAAATCTAGAGACAAACATTGTCTTCTTTGGCGGAACCACAACTAGTTTCTTGTATCAGACTGGAGTACCGGCGGAAGGGGTTGAGTTACTGCATTACTAGTTGAAGATAGGGAAGGCGGTGGACGCTTTGAAGACGATGCCACCACTTCAATTGGGGGAGGGTAAGATACTTCAGGCTCGTTATTATTCGAAGCAGATATCGTTACACGCTCTTTTGAGGCTGAGGATTCTGATGCTGGAGGACATGGAGAAGTTAGATTAATTAGGTCAGTCGGAAGATTATTCTGTCGTGCAACGGCAATAATTTCCTTAGATGGACTATGAAGACGCTTACGTCTAGACACACGGATTGCAAGCTATAAAAGCATTTTAATGATTTAAACACATTTTCATAATGCTTAAATTTTTCTGTCAGTACTGACAATTCTCTTCCTATTTCTGTAAAACCATTTCTGGTGTGCGTAAATAACTTAAAAAGATCAACTTCGGTTGACCTGCACTTAACGCAAGACCAGCGAAGGCCCTTGCCATCATTAATAGCGTCCAGAATTCTTCCTGTCAAACCAGCACATCTCAGATGGTAAATGCCATCACAAAGCCAGCATGATAAGTAGCGTCCGGAATCGCTTTTACCTTGACAAGTATCAAGATCGCACTTCATACTGAAAGATTTAATGACACATGTTAATAAAAAGACAAACAAAATAAGTTATAACAATTTAGGGGTTGATGTAATTAGCTTTAAATATATGTAGCCAACAGTTTGAGTATCACTGTATTATGACACTTAATAAACGCCACGCAAACAGCTGTAACAAGAATTACTAGAAGAAGCAAAAAAAAGAGTGGAACAAATGTGCACAAACAAAACGATTTCAGTTAACTACAAAGGATACAACAACAATGATAGCAACAAATGACACGGCAAGATTAGAATGTATGCTAGTGAAATTTAATTAAATTTAATTTAATAAACTTTCACTTAGCTTCATTTATTTCACACTAAGATGCTCATAGGCACATTTTATCACAACTTTAACCCAGAATTAGCACAATAAACTTAGCAAATAGAAAGTCAAAATCAGAGAACAATATACATAAGTACAACCTTACAGCCACCATCAAGGATTTCGTCAGAATAAAAAAAATGTGTGACTGCCAAAGTTATAGATCTAATGAAGCACAAAAAATAAGCATACTTAGAATTTTGAATACCCCCTCAAAATCGGGACTTAGGGTCTAAAAATGCGTTTTTCATAGGTTGAATCTTATAGTTGTTCGTAACTTAATTACAGTTTATTCGATCAAAAATATTTATGCACACACCGTACACGGTAACCGCAACTCTCAATAGGTGGAATTCCTTGATTAATGCAAGTCTTAAAAAAACAAAACATTGTAACCTTTATAAGTGCAACTTCAAAACAATTTAACCCCAATACCTACAACTTTCTTTGTTTATGCATGCCACGCACACAAAATTTGAATTTTTTGCCTTTCTGTGGCTTATCAGCATTCTGGAAAAACTAAAAAGTGATGTTTCAGTTACGGCTATATTATTGACACTCCGAATATGTCGGAATAAGGCAGAATAGGAATATTTATGGAATAGAGGAGAATTAGTCGGAATAAGTCCATTAATGACGTATAGAATAAAACGAAATAAGGCGTAATAAAGAAGTCAGAACAGTTATTCCGGGGAATAATTAATCGGTCTGAATCGGGCGGTTATTCATTCAAAATTGATTACTGTGTTCTACAATTGCTTTAACAATACATACGGGTAATAAATATGACCTGTTTTTTTTTTTTTAGTTTGTAATTATCCTTTTTAATACATTTAAGGTGAAATAGAAACAGGCAAGAACTTGAAAAGGCAGCAACATTATTTTTTATTAAATGTAATGCTCCAATTTTTAAATTTAACCTTCTTGTGTTCTGTAGTCTACATTTGTAGCATTTTTGCTGAAAATTTTAAATAAATAAAATAATTCCACTACAACCGTGCCCGAGTTTTTCATTAGCTACATGAAAATCAATTCTAAACAGTTTTGGCTATTAAGCGTAGAGAACAATTATTTCCGATACCTTCAAAACTTTTATTTTAAAAATGACTATCGCCTGGACTCCTAGTCTACAAATGTAGACACCATACAACAGCGTGCAACAGTCAATTTTATCCATACACATGGGCGTAGCCAGGTAGTGGCAGGGGGGTGCTCGAGCCCCTCCCCACCTAACTTTCAACTTTTCCTTATATATATATAAAATAGTACCCTGAAATGCCAGCTTAATAGGGTCGAGCCCCCCCCTAAATTTCATTCTGGCTACGCCGATGTCCATCAAAAATTAATATATTCACGAAACTCGGGACTAAATATAGTAAAAATGCTTAGTTTTCCTCTCTGACGAAGGGTTTTTTTAAAGACTTTGAATATTCAAGGATATGATAAATTCAAAAATGATTAAAAATATTCAGTGCAATGTAGAATAACAATATGTGTGTCAAATAAAATAAAAAACTCTGTTAAATTCAAAGAAAATTGAATGCTTGGGAACACAATGTCGAAAGGGTGTTGAAATCGTCCTTTTAACTTTATTAGTTTAGGATACAAAAATTATTTAAAAGAACATTTTTAATATCTATTCGTCCTTGTGCACCAACAAATTTAATGTTTTTCAATTCTAAAAAATTGTCTTTTTATTGAATGTCCATACGGTTATTCTACATCACACTGAATTTTTTTAATAAGTTGTTGAACTTTTCATATCGTTGAAGATTCAAAGTCCTTTAACAAAAAAAGTTACTGGCGTCGGAGACAAAATCTAAAAACGCAGTTTTACTATATTTGGCCCCTAGGTTCGTTAGTATATTGCTTCGTGTGTTTTGAAATGTTTTTGGTTTTTGTCGCACATTGTTTTGATTTCTGCGTGTCGAAACATGTTTGTAATATGTATTAGTTAGGTGCTATACAGACGAATTTGGTGTTTAGCAAACAAGATGCGAGCTCGCGACTCACATTTTCTCACTTGGAATTTCGGTAGATGCTACTCGATGAATAAAGGTAATTTTTTTTCACGAATTCAGCGAATTTAATAAAAAAAGAAATGTGTAAAAATGTCCACACAAGCATATTCGGAGAAGCCTCTCCGATTTATTTAATGTTTTTGTCTAGCCGTTCTCGATATAACGATTTATGAAAAAAAGTCCTATTTTTTTTTGAATATGTACCCATAACTTTGCCAAAACCGGGCCGATTGGTACTTTTATACCCGAGCGCACTTGTGCACAAGGGTATTATAACTTTGCTCACATAACGGTTGTTTATAAAAGGCAAAACGAATCGAGATAGATGTAGACAAATGTATACATAAATGATCAGAATGAAAAGAGAAATCTATTAAGCGGTGACTGTCTGTCCGTCCTTCTCTGTACACGATAACTCGATTAAAAACTGAGATATCTTAACGAAACTTAGTACGTGTACTTGTTTCGGGCGTAGGACGGATGTTATTGAAAATGGCAAAAATCGGACAATAACTACGCCTACCTCCCATATAACGGTAGTTTTCAGAAATACGAAAACTGCGATATTTTAGTAACTACTGAATATTATTTACTCAAAATTGATATTTACAATAATTTTTAGACGAAAAACAAGAATATTATAAATTTTTGGAAAATGGGCGTAGCCACGCCCACTTACGGTTACATGTGTATATCTCGGTAACCGCTCCACCAATTTATCCCAAACTTGGCACAGTTGTTGGCCTTGGTACTGAAAATTTTTAAAATCAGACAATAACCTCGCTCACATCCCATATAACGGTAATTTAGAAAAATACGAAATCTTCGATAAATCAGTAAATACTAAAGCTAATTTATTCAAAATTGATGTTTGCAACAAATCTTTACCAAGAAATACGTTTATGATAAAATTTTTGAAAATGGGCGTGGCACCGCCCACTTATAATCACATATATGTATCTCGGTAACCGTTTTACCGATTTGTACCCAACTGGGACTAAAAGTACGGCTACTTTTCATATAACGTTAATGCTTAAAACTTCTATATTTCAAAATTTAAGAACGCTAATTTATTCAAAATTGATACTTACAACAATCCCTTGAAAAGAGGTAACAAAAATACTGACCGCCTTTTATATTTTTTTTTTAACTGTCAGCCGTTCCGCAATTGCAAGGCCAAGTCCAATAATGGTGTAACAGTGAGCTCTAACTTTTTCGAATTTTTAATTCTAACAAATATTATCCAATTCATCTCAGACTAAGTCAAATCAAATGCATTTATGAAAATCATAAAAATACCACATTGTGGAGGAAGAAATTATTTACATATTTGCATAGGTATTTACTACGCTACGACTAATCCCCATCGCATAATAAATTGGTATCGTCTTCCTTTACGTTTGATCAAACGCTTGGATGCTCGTACATGGCGTATGAGTAACATTATTTACTGCTTATATTTCACAAAAAAAATCATTGAATTTACCAATAGATTAAGCGAAAGTGATAAGCCAGAGCGCAATACTTCCCATTTTAATTATGTAGAGAATTTATTCCTCTACACCAGTGATTCCCAAGGTGGTCCAGGCCCCCAGGGGCCCACGGGAGACTCAACGGGGGCCTACGTTGGCGTGAAAAAAATATGGGGGTCCGCGAAAATTTATCTGGTTTCGTTAGTAAAGAACCAAAATGGTTGCTTGATAGCTTCTTTATTTAACTTTAATTTTTTTTAATGGTGTATAGTTTCACTTTGTTTTCATACGTGGGAAAGCCTTCAAGGCCACCTGCAGACTAAAAAGAACCGAATGTTGGTATAATACTGAGTGAGGCGGCAGAGATTTAAGCACTTGTGTATTTTCAATACTACATGATAGTGCCACCATTACTTTTGTTGAAGAGATTCTATAATAGTTGTGTTTTCGTATTCTCCAGCAAAAAATATCTAGTAACTTGTCAGTAACCAAATTTAGGAGAGTAAGCCAATATTTACTCCCAACGAGTGAAATATGCAAGAAAGTACGAAAACGCAAAACCAGCAAGAAGTTGCTAGTTTTATGAACAGCTGATTAACTTGTTATTTTCCGATGCAATTTTCTTAGAAAACTAGTATTTTCCATCTTATTATAAATTTAAATAGGTTTATTTTGTCAATTGCAACTCTAAAGGCACCACAAACAATTATTTTGTTAACGTGAATAACATTTAGCATCATGCCATCAGCTGTTTTTCTTACTAGCAAATAGTTGCTAGTAAAAATTTATCCAGTAACAAGTAAGAAAGTCTAAGTTCGGGCGGAGCCGAACATTAAATACCCGGCGCAAATATTAAATATATGTTTTTTCACCTTTTCTACCGCTAGATGGTAAGCCGGGGTGTATCAATTTTGAGTAAATTAGCGTCCTTCAATTTCGAAACATTGAAGTTTCAAGCATTTCTGAAATTTACCGTTATATGAAAAGCGGCCGTAATTTTAGACCGATTTCAGTAATTTTCAATGCTTTGCTTTCATGTGGCAAGCACAATAACCACACCGAGTTTGGTACAAATTGGTAGAACGGTTACCGATATACATATATGGGATCATAAGTGGGCGGTGCCCCGCCCATTTTCCAAAATTTTACCATAAGCGTATTTCTTGGTAAAGAATTGTTGCAAGCATCAATTTTGAATAAATTAGCTTCAATATTTA